GAAATTAAAACAATGAATTTTAAAAGAAAATTATTCAAACAAAGAAAAACAAAATTCAAATAAAATTTTTGAACTTTCAAATGTTTAAATGCTTTTTATTTGAATTGTTTTATTTCAAATTCTTTTGTTTTATTTCTAACAAGAGCTCCTTACAACTCGAATTTTAAAATTATCGGAAATAAAAACTAATATTAATAACGTGCATCAAACATTTAAGGGTTTTCATGAAATAATCTATTAAGGGCATTATACCAAAACAAAAATTATCAACGCAGAATGTGCGTTTCAAAAATATTTCTTCTTTACAAGACTCAATTTTCCTTTTCTTCCGTTCGAAACATCAAGAAACTTTAAGCACAAGAAGAATCGGAAAAGAAATTACTGCTTTAATTTGATATTTTTATCTTACATCGCTTAGGTTTTTTATAGAAATTTATTGCTTGATATATATAGCTGTGAAACAACACAACATTAATCTTATCAAATTTAGCAGACATTTGATGTTTTTTAAATCCGGGTAAAAGTCTATTTTTGAAGCTACTAAAATTTTCAATTTAAATTAAATTTTAGAAATTATATTGATTATTTTCTTATTGGTTATTTAAAGTATTGAGGTCTTATAAAAAACCAAACTTGCTTAACTATTCCTAGCTATACAAGAAGATATGAATCACAAATGCTTAATTAACAATATTGTTGAACGATCAAAGCAAAAAGAATTTTTCTCGTTACATATTTCGAGTTTTCAGCAGATAAAGACTTTTACGTCTTCTATGTGTAATCCAGTCAAGCAAAAAACCTCTTTTATTTATCAAGCAGAAATGCTCATTTTTACTTATTTTCTGAAGTAACTTAAGATATTTTCTTTTGGTAGTAAACAAGTCAAAACCGTATTGTATTTGGAGATTTTTGGAGTAAATGAAGTATCTTTAACTATTGTCTTATCATTTTTAAAGCTGTTTCCAATATAAATGTGTGAGAAAAACTGTCATTTGTCTAATCCTTAACTTAAACTTTGCAACAATCATAAGTAGGTGTATGAAAAAACAATTGTCTATATAATAGTTGGAAATTCTTATTCATTAAGTTGCTATTCATTCAAAGCATTTCAAATTTTAATATTTTATAATAACTTCAATATTTCCTGCAAAAGCGTTCAGCAATGAAACTTTATGATGTTGACATTTATGAGCTTCTTACAATTTTCATTCAATTTTATTACATTTTATTGAACAAGAAAGAAAATTATTTCAATTCTGATCTGCAAAATGTTCGATGAATTTTCAATGTTGCTTCAAAATCACAATATTCATGTTATGATAAAAATAAAATTTAATAATTTTTAAATTTCAATTATATTTCATAAACTGTATCAAGGATTGTAATTTTTTGCTCATTCCAAACTATTTAAATTAAAATTACGAAGTTGATGAAGAATTTGTCAATTCATAATTATTGTTTAAATCAAATTAAAGCTATAAACACGAAATATAAATTTTATTAAAGAGACATTAAACTGTTCTTGTTTAAGTCTTCTCATTAGAACTGCCAATATCTCAAAATTTAAAAAATTTAAGGCATTTCAAAAATTTTATATTCTAATTAAGGAAATGTTTCTTGTCTCCTGACCAAATAATTCTTTTTTCTCCTAAAAATTACCATAAAATCATGTTTTAATCAAGAAGTTTTGATATAAAAGGAAGTAAATATGCATAACATTAATCTTGTCCTTTTAATTACAGACTTTTCCTCAGAATCGTCTGGCACCGAAAGAAAAACTTTTTAATTACATAGAAATTATTTAAATTACGTACTTGAGGGAGCATCAAAGCACATCCATCAAAAAGGATCCTGAGGGATTCTTATAGCAATACATGTCATATCCATTGATAATATTTCTTTCCGTTTTTCATCCACACAAAAAATTTAATCTCAACCAGCCGTGACATTTGGTACAATTAAATTTTGACATGACTTGCTGTTTTAAGGGATAACATGATTTTTAATTGCCTTTATATTCTGTATAATTAGAGATAATATCGCCCGTAATTGAAATTAAAATTTTTCGCCCAGTAATTAATGTTCATGCCATTGTGAATGTTGGATGTTATTTGAGGAAACGACCAAAAAATCTGTTATCAAGGACCATAAAATTAATTGATACTTGCTTGTTTGAAGCAAGGCCATAATTTTTCATGTCATGGATTTTTATTGATTCGAGAGGCAAAAATAGCTCGTCGGTGAACAGCAAGGCGTCAGTCATATTGCAGATATCCTTAATTTTTTGTTTTTATTTTTTGATGATTCAACTGGTGCATTTGCGGCATTAAATTGCTTCAATTTGTGCTCTATGTTGTTGGTGAACCTTCTTATTTTTGTATCTTTTTTGCTTATAATGCTGTGCATATTCTGTCAGTTTGTTTGCATTTTATTTCATTGCAATATAAATGTTTTTAATTCCTGTTTGGAGGCTCTGAATTAGAGGCTTTGGCATCTTTTTTTGGAGAATACCATTATAAGGGAGAGTAATTTAAGCCTATTACAGAAGTCTATCTGATGCTCTTTGATGCTATCCTAGTTATACCCTGTGCTAATGACTCAATAATGCAGCATGTGTAAAAATCAGTCTACAACACCTGTTTCAATCATTAAATACCGAAATCCTTAAATTCGGGAAAGTTAATAGCTATAAAAAGTAAAGTTATATAGCTTTAAAGTTACTTATTAAAGTACAGATATATTCAGAATCATTCCATTTCATATTTTCACAGTTGATTAACACTTGCCTCGTAATACTCAATTTACATAAGATGCAATTGATAATTTTCTCGTTCTACTTGACAGCATTTTTAAAATCCAACGTCTGCTGTAAGGATTATTGCTTTTATAAGCTCTTGAATTGTATGGAAATGTTTCCATGAATCATTGTCCTTCAAACTGGCAAGTTTCTCAAAAATGATTGATTGTTTTATACACATTGAGATTGTTATTCATCTGTTGTCCTTTGATGGAAGTAATTTCTGTTGCCTGTGGATCATTTAAGCTTGTTGCTACTAAAGTATGTAACTGCTGAAAAATAAAACAAACTGATTGTTATGATACCTTTGCGTTCCAATTTTTGTGAAATTCGCTGTCAATTGTGGTGAGAAGAGTATTTGAGCTTTAAGCAAGCTATTGCATTACTTTTAACTAGAAATTCTTCGTCTCAGATTCCAAACTTCTTAATTTTTCACGTTGTTTGATAAATTTTTAATTGAAAGCTCAAGCAGATGTTCACAAATGTCCTGCTGTATTGAATCGATGTGTCAGTTGGCTAAAAAAGGAAGCACAAAGTTCTTACTTACAAATTAGACAAAATTTCAATGATAAGTGCGATGATATTTGTTTTGGTAATAAAAATATTGATTGCCATTTCAACAATTGGTGTAGAAGCTTCCTTCTCAGTTTGTTTGCATTTTATTTCATTGCACTATAAATGTTTTTAATTCCTGTTTGGAGGCTCTGGATTAGAGGCTTTGGCATCTTTTTTGGGAGAATACCATTATAAGGGAGAGTAATTTAAGCCTATTACAGAAGTCTATCTGATGCTCTTTGATGCTATCCTAGTTATACCCTGTGCTAATGACTCAATAATGCAGCATGTGTAAAAATCAGTCTACAACACCTGTTTCAATCATTAAATACCGAAATCCTTAAATTCGGGAAAGTTAATAGCTATAAAAAGTAAAGTTATATAGCTTTAAAGTTACTTATTAAAGTACAGATATATTCAGAATCATTCCATTTCATATTTTCACAGTTGATTAACACTTGCCTCGTAATACTCAATTTACATAAGATGCAATTGATAATTTTCTCGTTCTACTTGACAGCATTTTTAAAATCCAACGTCTGCTGTAAGGATTATTGCTTTTATAAGCTCTTGAATTGTATGGAAATGTTTCCATGAACCATTGTCCTTCAAACTGGCAAGTTTCTCAAAAATGATTGATTGTTTTATACACATTGAGATTGTTATTCATCTGTTGTCCTTTGATGGAAGTAATTTCTGTTGCCTGTGGATCATTTAAGCTTGTTGCCACTAAAGTATGTAACTGCTGAAAAATAAAACAAACTGATTGTTATGATACCTTTGCGTTCCAAGTTTTGTGAAATTCGCTGTCAATTGTGGTAAGAAGAGTAAGCTATTGCATTACTTTTAACTAGAAATTCTTCGTCTCAGATTCCAAACTTCTTAATTTTTCACGATGTTTGATAAATTTTAATTGAAAGCTCAAGCAGATGTTCACAAATGTATCCTGCTGTATTGAATCGATGTGTCAATTGGCTAAAAAAGGAAGCCCAAAGTTCTTACTTACAAATTAGTGGATTTAATTTTATTCCTATTTTAATTGCAACTAAAATTTATCAATTTGACAAAATTTCAATGATAACTGCGATGATATTTGTTTTGGTATTAAAAATGTTGATTGCCAATTCAACAATTGATGTAGAAGCTTCCTTCTCTTTAAAGTTTGACATACTTTACATCATATGTTCCTGCTCAGTCAGTGTAATTCATCACTTTGTAACTTTTACATGCTAAAGGATTCTTTGATGTATTGTCACGGATTTCCTATTGACAATAATGCACATGCAACATTAGCGTATGCATTAATTAAAGCACTTTACTTTTCTCGTTTTAATGATTCTATCCAGTTACTCGTTTTATGTGCTACAGACACTTTAACACATTCTCACATTATCAAAGCATATTCGAGTATTTTCGCACATACTTATGATGCATAGCAATATATAGAATTTAAGAGCGTAAAATTTGCATATTCATGGAAGTTTTGTTTGAAATCGTGAAGAAAAATCCTAGCTGTATCAAATTTCTAATTATTTTAAGCATGATCAGTGAATACCCAAAAAAAAAATCATTAATCAAAATGAAAAGACATGCATGCATTAAAACATTTCAATTTTAATTATATTAATTTACTTTATTAAGATAACTGACGGAAAAAAGCTCTCGTGTTATAAAAAAGTTCCAACAATATAAAAAGAAAAGTTCATTCACAGCACAACACGTGCTGATATTTCGAATATGTTTCCTTTGCGTGTCTGTGTATCAAATTGTTTATTTTTTGAGAGTCGGGGATTGATTTTGGCAATGTTGAAGTGGCGCATGAGATTTTGGTTTGCCTTAATGAAGCTTTTTGGTGTTGATGAGTTTGAAGCTTTTATTTTTTTGCGTTTTTAATGTTTGGTAAATAACGGTTACAACACATTTGAAAAATAACGGTCAAATTCATTTAGAAATGTCAAGCAAATAAATTTACTAGATTACTTTTAATCCGATGGATTAAATAAAATAAAGCTAAATCTGATCCAAACACTTACTCTGATACAATTCCTTTTAATAACAAAATCCTTACAGACCATTACAGAATAATTTTTAAATAAAATGTTCTTAAATTATCACTTTAGACAGCATAATAGCCTTTAGCATCAGCTTAAACCCCCTTAAAAATGATAATCCCAAACGAAGCAGTAGAAATAACAAGCAATGAAAATTCTTGGTGGTTTTGTGTCAGCATCCGTTTTAGAAATAAGAGCACAGCAATAATCATAATGTGGAAATGAGAGCAATTTCTTACAATAAAATATTATTTTTTTGTTCTTCATTAAAATTCCATCCTTTTATCGCTTACAGTTATAGCTTGAGCCTTAGTACTCTGCTCGAGTTTGCGGATAAATTCCTCGAAAATCACTGTCGACTTAAACATTGATGTTTTCTTGAAGTCCTTAACCCGACTCGCTTTATCCTCTGGCGTCTCAGTTGCATCAGTATTCTTCTGATCAAATGTATCGATTTCATTAAGAAGCAAATTTACTTTCGGAACTGTTGTTGGGTCGAACTTTGTTGCTAAATTTGGATTGAAAGGCACACAAATCTTGCCAGTTTTTGGATGAACACAAAATGGAGCTTTTAATAAATGATTTGTGCCTTTACTGACATTAATATCAAGCCGTGGATAGAGCATTGCCAACTGTACTTCCTCAATAATGTGTCGAAGTTTTGGCTTCAATTGACTTTTTACACGCATTGACTCAAAATATCCAACGAATGTACTCCAGATGCTTTTCGAGTCAGCAATTGTCGTTGAAAATAAATTTTGCAATTCCTTTCGACAATTCTCATCAGGAACCATTTTCAATAGTCTCTCAGTGCCCGTTGCTGAGCCAAAAGCATTCTGATCATCAATAATGATTTCATTAAATAACGGTTCGATTATGGAACGTGCACGACGAATGCTATGATGCTGTTTATCGAAAAGTGTAACTTTCGAAACTGAATTTTCGCCACCACTCATTGATAGTTGTAAATAGTCAGCAATAGCACCACGGCCTTTAGTGTCAAGATGTCTTGCTGTTTTATCACAAACCCAACAATGAACACCACGTCTTCCTGAAAACACCCACAGTATGTGTTCAAATCCAAAATCATCTCTTAATGCTATATCGATGACTTTACATGCAACGGCCATAAATTTCCAACATTTGTTACAGATATTCGCCTCATTACAGCATGTACGAACATTATCATAATCTGTCAAGTCAATATCAAAAACTAATTCACGCTGCATTGGCTTAATGTTTGGATTTGATCGATGATTTTTGGGTCGTATGTTAAACACAGCACCTGTTATCAATTGAAAATGTGATGAAGAAGACAGTTTTTAAGGATATATGGGCTAAGAGCTTACCAATATCAATTTTATGTGGAATTTTGGCACAAATTTCTTTTTCCATCTCAGATTGATTTTCGAATGATAGATAGCGAATGTAAATGTCGTCCTGCATTGTAAATGAGAATTCTCGGTGCGTAAAGATCCCATCCTCAGCTATAATTAAATAAAGAATAAAATCCGTTAATCAAAATTTTGAATTACTTAAGTTTTTTTGCTTCAAATCTTCATTCATAATTTCGTAGGTAAGTTGAACAGTAAAGTAGTGTTAAGCATTTAATTGATTTTAAAAGTAAGAATGACTAAGAAAAAGAACAAAATGACAACAGAAGCTGACCAGCAAGCATATCCTATAGACCAAGGTGACTAAATTATACAGAATGTAAATTAAATAATTAATTACTTTCGTTCTATAAACAGACAAAGCAGATAATGTTAAAAAATTAAGACAAAAAACAAATAAGGGAATCTATTGTTTTGATAAGGAAAAGAGTGGTGGTTTTTATCAAGGAGCAAACGGTCTAAAGATGATGATAATGCGACTAGACTTTTTGCAATCGACGCGAAATAGAATTATCAAGTTCCGTACTGATTACAAAAAAGTCCATCCATCACTTGAGAAATGTTACAATCAATTGATCGAAAAGGAAATCGATTTGGAAAAGATGATAGAATCGTATGAAGCACCTGATCTTATGGATGAGAACTTCTCCGAAGATACAGTAGATCCCGATTGTTTATTTTAAAGTCTATTTCTTTAAATTACACTAAAATCCTTGATCATTCCATAATCATAATCACGCCTATTTCTTCCTTAATAGCTTAATTATGCTTAAAATTAATTGTTCCATATTTTTCATTATTTACTTGTTTTGGCGCCAAAATTATTACTCACATAAATTATAAGAAAGCCAGCGATAGAACTGTTTATGCGGGAACAAACGCTTATAATAAAGTCTCAGATAATCAGGCAACTGAGTTGCATCGTATTCCTCGCCATTAAGAGCCTCTGGCATTTTTAATTAATTTATTTTATTTTTTTCACAGAACTGTTTACTCAGAAAAATGTTTTGAAATAATAAGCTAATCTGACATGTTACTTTTTTTGCATATATTTAAGGGGTATTGGTAAGTTTTGTGGCTGAAAGTATGCTTACTAGTTAATTAAATGTGTAGATAAAAAAATATTTGTGTTTTAAAACCTTACAACAGTTAAATAATTTGTAAAGTTTTGTAAACATTGTTGTACGGTTTTAGGAAAAAGTCAAATTTTTAACGGTTTTTAAATGTGGGTTACAAAAAATAATTGATGTTCAGAATATCATTAGAATATAAGGTGCACGCAGTTCGTTTAGACGCACTTAATTTTTTTCAAATTTTCCTTTAATAAACACTATTAAGACAAAAACTATTTTATGTGTTTATAGCTATGACCAATTAGGTTATAAATATAATAAAAGTACCTGACTAAATGCTTTGCTTAAGTAATTAAAATAATTTTTTCAAAAATTACAACAACAAAGTGCGCAGTTCGTTTAGACGCACTTTGAAAAATCTAAAATTTTGTCTTATTTACGTTTCGTAGAAAACTTAATCGTTTCTAATATTAATCTATCAACAAAAACGAGTAATTACTGAGGGTTTTAGAATTTTCCATCAAGTTTTTCCAGAGATTTTCCTTCATTAAAGTTTTCATGTTGCAAAAATTTTGATAAATTATTTATCCAATAATTTTGCGTTAAATTATTATTCTTTTAACTGATTTCCATAGATAATTGTCCATAATATTAGAAAATTAACAGATATTTAAGCTTTCTTCTAAGTATAAGGCGAAAATATGTGAAAAATATAATTATGGTGAAAAATTTCCACCACTCTCATAGATTAATCAACAAATTTTGACAAAACTGTAGATACCATAATAAATTTGAATAGACCAGCTTATTTATCGTATTAAACTTAGTTAAAAACAGAAAACTGCACAGCTCTATGGCTAATGGAACTTGAAAATTTTACTGAAAAATTAAGTTGTGGTGAAAAAATTCACCATAGAAAAATAAAATTTTAAAAAACGTTGTTTTAGGCAATTGTTTCATTTAAATTAGGTTGTAAAAGTGTTTCTGTCTCAAAATTAATCAATTTAAAACATGAATTAAAACCTTAGACATAGTTTTTTTAAAATTTTATTTTTCTATGGTGAATTTTTTCACCACAACTTAATTTTTCAGTAAAATTTTCAAGTTCCATTAGCCATAGAGCTGTGCAGTTTTCTGTTTTTAACTAAGTTTAATACGATAAATAAGCTGGTCTATTCAAATTTATTATGGTATCTACAGTTTTGTCAAAATTTGTTGATTAATCTATGAGAGTGGTGGAAATTTTTCACCATAATTATATTTTTCACATATTTTCGCCTTATACTTAGAAGAAAGCTTAAATATCTGTTAATTTTCTAATATTATGGACAATTATCTATGGAAATCAGTTAAAAGAATAATAATTTAACGCAAAATTATTGGATAAATAATTTATCAAAATTTTTGCAACATGAAAACTTTAATGAAGGAAAATCTCTGGAAAAACTTGATGGAAAATTCTAAAACCCTCAGTAATTACTCGTTTTTGTTGATAGATTAATATTAGAAACGATTAAGTTTTCTACGAAACGTAAATAAGACAAAATTTTAGATTTTTCAAAGTGCGTCTAAACGAACTGCGCACTTTGTTGTTGTAATTTTTGAAAAAATTATTTTAATTACTTAAGCAAAGCATTTAGTCAGGTACTTTTATTATATTTATAACCTAATTGGTCATAGCTATAAACACATAAAATAGTTTTTGTCTTAATAGTGTTTATTAAAGGAAAATTTGAAAAAAATTAAGTGCGTCTAAACGAACTGCGCGCACCTTAGCAGAATCCTGTTCAGCATTCCTGAGCAAATGCCATTAAAAAGAAAGAAAACATCTAAGCATCAATAAGTCATTATTAAACATAATTTCACGCTGTTTTCAGATTCAGTTCCTTTACATATTTTATCATTAGACTTAAAATCAATATAATGTTCTTTAAAGATTTACAAAGATTGATTCGCTTAATTTAATATTCCAATTTAAAAAAAAATCAATGCCTTCAATATAAAGTACGTGATAAGATAATAAATTTCCATGCTTTTGATATATTAGAAGGCATTCAATAAGAAAAGGGTCTGATTTCGATAGACGCCTGAATTGAATTTTCTTCAGATTTTATTGCTGAAATATCTAAAGTTTTTAATAATTGCAAATAAACAGTCACAAGCTGTGTATATCTCAGATGAATGACTTTTCTGTAAGTTTTCTTAGAAGGCTTATAACTTTATAAGTTATAACATTCCTAAAATTTTTATTGAGGTTAAGCGCAATCTGTTGCCGCATGAAAGTTTTAATCGAAAATCAGTTCAGCCGAAATGACTTCATACGTGCTTACTTCATTTCATTTCTAAGAAACAAACTACGATTTATGAGACTTTCTTTAGAGTCTTCAAACAACGTAAGCTCAGATGGGGGAAATTCAAGAAGTACGACCGTTAAAGTTTCCCAGTAAACATGTTTAAAAAAAATATTTGTCTGACTGTCAAGCAAAATTCGAAATTTCACACCCTTTTTTTCGAAAATTTAAATTTAGCAAATTTATGTAAACAAACAAACAAAAAATATTAAAATTAAGTGTTCTAATGATTTTTAACGAAAAAGAAGTGTAATTAAGTGTAAAAAGAGTCTTTGTATAGTTCAGTAAGTATGATTACGCTCGAAAATACAAAGTCAACCAGCTTAAAGGACGGAATTTTATGAAAATTTACGAAAAGAAATATCAGATAAGTATAATTTCAAGTATTTTTTTATAAACGTGATGCTTTGTGACTTTTTATTGTAGAATTAATAGATCCAGCAGGCAGTTTTCAACATCAGCGATAAAAAAATACATAATTATGTAAGTAAAGTACATCAAAGTACTAATTTAATGATTTACTAGCAAATTTGTTTGCTTTATGCAACAGTTCCAGTTCAACTTTGATTCTCTGCTTAATGTAAATTTCATTCAATGCTATTGTTGTTTCTTTACAGTGCTCATAAGGATAAATCAGATTGGATACATTGGAAAGAAAACATTTTTTAAAGGTCTTACTTATATCATCATAAAACTCACGTAAACTGTTTTATTTAGAATTTGAAAAACGAGGTGTGAAAATAATAAATTTTTAACGGTTTTCGAAAATTTAAATTTTTTCGAAATTTTCGAACATGTGTAGTTGAACGCCACCAGACTTTCGATAAGTCTGGTAAAATTGAATTTCCCCCATCTGCGTAAGCTGTTTTAATCGCAAATGAAAACTGTAAGATGCATGAAAGTAAATTCTTCCATAAAAGCATAAATCTCAATTTTGAATCTATTTCGACTATGCATGCATCACATAAAAGGAAAATTTAATAAATAAAAGAAAACTCATTTTCTTCCTTTTCTTTTTCTCTTTAATTTTCCTTCTTGCTTATCGGATAGATTGTTGTACATCAATTGCTTTACGAAAATCAATTTTCCTTCTTGTTTCTCAAAAGGTTTATTTTGGCAATGTCAATTTTATTCGGAATGTGCTTGATTTCTATTCATTTTGTCTTGTTCTGGAAAATTAGGAATTAGGGTTGACTTCAGTACCATTACTTAAAATTTCAACTTTCAGTGGTTTCAAACAACTTTGACGACAATCGCAAAGAAGTCTGTATTAAAATAACATTTTAAGTAATTCTCCAACTTGAATATCTATTGCAGCCAAGCATCTCATTGCTTTACATCTGATTGAAAATATCAAAATGTTAAATTTAGTTGGATCTATTGAAGTTTTCTTCTTCCGTTCAATCTTTTCAGCTCTTTTACGAACATATTGAAAAGGATTAAAATAAACAGTTGTTTTAATTAAAACTTGAAGATTTCCACGAGTTTAAATGTTTAGCAGTCAATTAATATTTAATCATTATCTTTTCCTTCTTTACAGTCTTGTAAATGATCATAAATCCTTTTTTTTCTCGACAACTTAATAAGAAAACTTAATCATAATTAATTTTTATGGAACTTATTATTCATCGATAGTCCGGAAGTTTGATTTAGTTTAATTGAGAGATAAGCTATAAAATGGTAAAAGATAACTTTAACGAACATTTGAAGTCACGACTTGATAAAGAAAACTTTGGAGTTTCAATAAGGATTTTAATTTTAAGGTTATTCAATAATAATGTACAAGATTTGCAAGAAAAGAGCATGGACAAAGCTACAAATTCTCAATAGATATTTAACACTGAAGACCAGAAGTTTAAACTCATTTCACAGTATTTCGAACCACATGAGAATAGTTCCAAAAATTCAATTTATCTAGTAAGGAGTGGGTATAGATTGAAATATATTCAGACATTATCAAGAGTGTAGAAATTTCTCTAGTTTTAAATATTTACCTCCTGTCGATTCAATCTTCAAATATTCAGAATATAAAGGAATTTTAACACCATCGGAGGATGTCTAATGTGAAGGAAAACTCAATAAGTTGATTTATACGAAATAAAACTAAATAAGATAGGTTATAGACAGGGGGAAATTTACTCAGCCTAAAATTTTTTTTGAGTAAAAAATTATTAAAACAAAAGCGTAAAAAAAGAGTAAAAAGTGTAAAAAAAGAGTAAAATGTGTAAAAAAAAGCGTAAAAAAAGAGTAAAAAGCGTAAAAAAGTGTAAAAAAAGAGTAAAAAGCGTAAAAAAAGAGTAAAAAGTGCACTTTTTACTCTTTTTTTACACTTTTTTTACGCTTTTTACTCTTTTTTTACACTTTTTACTCTTTTTTTACACATTTTACTCTTTTTTTTACACATTTTACTCTTTTTTTACACTTTTTACTCTTTTTTTACGCTTTTGTTTTAATAATTTTTTACTCAAAAAAAATTTTAGGCTGAGTAAATTTCCCCCTGGTTATAGATATTTCCATACTTAAAAAGTGGATATATGGCACAGATGTTTAATAAACGTATGTGTCAAACACATTTCAAGTGTGAATGGAACTGAAAAACTTTAGAG